ACACCGCCCTCCGTTCCCCGCTGATACGTGATACCAAGACCGACCTTGAACCTGACATACATCAAAACATGCAAAGCTGCACGCCAATGCACCATCTTGGGGGCGTGGGCATACCTCGCCACAGCTCGCACTGCGTTGAGGATGTCCGGGCGCGTCTGATTCGCCAGCCACATCAAGTGTCCTACCAAAGACCGAAAAGGCTCAAGAACATCAGGCTCTGCATCGTCAAAATCCTCAAGCTTCAAGCCTACTACCATGGGAGTCTCCTTGTTGCGTGTGACACCGAACTTCTCAACCAAGTTCCTCGCAAACGTCTCCTGCGACAACGTAAACGTGCCACCCGCGCGATCACGAGAAAACCGAATACCCGCGTACAAACTCAACTCCCCAAGGTTCTTGATCGGGACGAAAGCGTTCAAGTCTCTGCCAAACTGATCACACGTACTCTTGGTCCCGATCGAGAAAATGTCGTCGACGTGCACAACAACTACCATTGTCACAACACCATTCTCGGTCAGACGCATGACACAAGCATCAGCAGCACACTGCTCAAACCCAAGGCGCTTCATTGCTCGGAGCAAATTGTAATGCCACATGCGGGACGCTTGCTTCAAACCATACAGGCTACGGGCAAGCTTGACAACTTTACCTGAGAGAGAGCCACAACCTGTTGGCAAACGAATGTACACATCCTCTTCCAGCTTGGATTGAACGAACGCCTGCTCAGCATCAAAGTGCACAAAATCCCAACCAAGATGACAAGCAATTGCGGCAAGAACGCGAATACTAGTAACAGACGGGCACGGCGAAAAGGTCTCAAAATAATCATACCATTCCCGCTGACTAAAACCTCTTGCTACCAGTCTGGCCTTTGCACGCGTCACATCACCGAACTCGTTGGACTTCCAAAGGTACAACAATTTGGCAGAAACGATGTTCGTCCCTGGCTGCTACGAGTCTGCCGCCGGCGAAAAAGTCTCCGCCTCAAGAAGTCTGGTGAACTCCGCGTCCTCAGCGCTGTACCAGATCTCGCTGTCTTCGCCTGAGTGCGCCTCCGCCCACGTCGTCGGGGTCACGCGCTCGCTTGCAGGCACATCCGGCAGCTCCGGACACCCAAAGAAACGCTCATCGTCCATCCGCGCGTCGAAGTCTTCCGCCATCGCAAGCATCGCCAACACCCCTGGGGACCGCGGCAGGGGCCCACCATTAGCCAGGCGCCGCGCCGAGGCCCTCGTGACGGAGGGGGTAACCTGATGGGGGTGCTGCTGAGGCTGCATGTGCGGCGCTCGCGCGGGCCGACGCTGTGCTCGGTCGCTCCAGTTGGGGTTGATGGCGAAGCTGCGGTCGGGCGCATCGCGGTCGCGGACCCAAGTATGCATGCCGCGGGCGTCGCCGTCTCCGCCATCACCGCTGCCGCCACCGCTGCTGCTGTCACCGCCACCATCACCGCTGCCGTCGCCGCCGCTGCTGCCGCTGCGATCTGCCGTGTGCCCGACGCCATCATGGCGACCGGGGGCGTCGCCGTTGCGACCGGGGGCGCCGCCGCTGCTGCCGCTTCTGCCGCCCCCCCCGCCGCCGACGCCGCCGCCACTGCCGCTGCGTCTGTCGAGGTGTCCGGGGCCATCGCGGCGACCGGGGACGACGCTGCTGCTGCCTTGTAAGTGTGCACTGCCGCCCTCCGCGGTCTGAGGTGTTGAGACTGGGTACTATGTTATCCCAGGAACAGCAGATGAAAAATGACCATGTATTATATATATCCGTCACCCGGTGGGGCCGCACTTGAACCCCAACCGCATACGTACCCACCACACTCATACTTCCCATACGCGTACTCCCCACAGAGGATGCACAGATCGGACTCATATCCAAGTACCACAAACAGCCCCCACTGTGTTTGTTCGCTGCGGCGTGTGTCGTTCATCTTGCCTGTGAGTTCATTTGTTTGGTTTCCTGCCTTCGTGCGTGATTTTTTTTCTTGTTCTTTTTCTATCGATTTTGTCCTATACGACTACTTCTACTGAGATTGAACCAGGGGATAACCCTCTCTCTGGCCTGTAGCGTTAGTTCCAGTTCACTTCTGCCCCACACAGAGTGTGTGTAGAGAGGAGCGGGGGCCCCACGCTATCTGTCGAGGATATAAATTGACTTGCGGACCCTTTCGGGTCCATTATATAAAATAGGGGCTATTTGAGCAAATCCCTTTCAAGTTAGCCTATATATAGACAGAAGAAGGTATCGGAACGTTTTTTTTTTTATGTGATGACAACAACAACGACAACAACAACGACACAGCAACACCGGTACACGTGCACGAAATTTGAGACAAATGTTACCTGACAGAATGAGCCTCGACCCGAAACTTGACATATTCGTCTATGTCTCCCGGCCCTTCTACAGTACTTTGAACCGGATTCATTCCGAAACTGCTCCAACCCTGATGCCCGTCTTACCCGCAAGGTCGTTGACCGTCACATCTCTTCTTTCTTCGTCCGCATTCTGAGCAACTCCTCCGCATTCCAGGCAGGGACGGCCTCCGCACTCAAGTCTCCGTTCGGCCATCGTTGTTGTTCCCATGGTCCAGCTGCATATCGCTGGCGCGTTGAAGTTGATGCCACGGCAGTCACAGGAAGAGAACAATAGCGAAAGCGACCGGTCGAGACACACGCATCGAGACCCAAGGATGGTGGAACAGAGCCTGTGGCGGGGAACTGTGGCGGTGATATGGTGATTGATGGAGAGAATCGGAGAAAACCTTGGAGAACCAGTTCGCTTCTGAACCAACTAATAATAATGTGGTTCGGTCCTCACAGGCTCACAGGCTCGGGCTCGTCGGAAGAACGGCACACGACACACAGCACGCATCGTCTCTGCGCCGTGTATGTCAGGCAGGATCTATGCAAAGAGGCAGGCAGGCATGATAAGAGAATAAGAGAGAGGGCGACCGACGCAAGAGACGATCTCATCAAGGAACACAGCAGCGGTGGGGTGCGGAACTGGTGGGACTTGCAGAGAACCAGTTTGCTCCAGAATGTTTTGACTTCGGTATTGACTAAACGGCTGCCTTCCCTGAACAACGGCCGGTTCTCACACACAGAAGATCCCAAGATCTCAAGAGGCGAGGAGGCGAGGAGGCTTGGAGGAGTGCAGAACGTGCCTCTATGCCTATTCTGGTTCACTCTGAGCTTGTGATGTGATGCCTGTAGTCCGGTTGGAGAGAGGATCGGTCTACACAGTCTATCTACATAGGAGGTTGGTGGTGGTATTTTGGAGTGGATCCTCTCCTCCTCTAGTCTACTGGTTGTCCTCTAGATGTCGGACGGTGGTAACTCCTGTGAAAGGTAAAGGACAAAGCGCACGATCCCACTCTACGCCAACTGCGCGGCATAAGAAGACTTGTTCTACGGTAGCCCTGTGAATTGTGTATCCGAGTGCTTCATTCAGTGTTTTGGTACCCTGCAGGATTCCAAACCAAGTAGCATTGGTTTCAGCTACGGAAAAAGACAAACGTACAAGAAATCTTGACCGCGCTTTTTTAACTGTGCGGCCGATTAAATCTTGACCGCGCTTGTTTTTACTGCGGCCGATTCCTCTCGCCTAGCGAAAGCTACGAGCACGAGGCAGCGGCGGTGCCTTCGCGCTACATGCATTTTTTCGAGACAATTTTCTTGGAATTTCAATCGAGGCCACACCGGTCGGTGCCAAACGCCAGCATTTTTGCCACCTCTTCACACGCGCCGCGCGCCTGGAGCTCAAACTCATGCTTTCTTTGCCGCGCCGTTCTCCACAACCGAGCAAGATCAGCACTATGCTGTCCACGGTTCGGTGCTCTTGGACAAAATAAGGACGCCCCGAGTGTCGGCAACGCTGGTGGCGCGCAGAGCGAGCACGCTTCCAAAATGCGGTCGGGCCACATTCGCCTGCTTTTCCGCCGCCAATGTCGGGCACAACATCTTTTCCCGCATGGACGATTCCCCAGCCTGCTCACCGACATCCACCAAAAGTCGAGGGTCAACGATGATCCAGTAGACACAGCTGTGTGCCAAGTTTGAAGGCCATCTGATCTGCACGCCGCTTGAAACCGCGTGCGACAGCACATTTCACCTCCCGGTGGCCGACCTCGCCAGCAACAATCAGACCGCAATTTCTCAACTCGTACGGACGAGCCCCTCGACACCAATCTTGCATCGTGAAGAGCTAGAACTGCACTGTCTTCGATGCCCATCTATGTCTGTGTTGTATCCCCCTCGTGGGATCACGATGTTCAAGCAAGGTTTTTGCCAGGGGGAGATGCAAACTGCAACGCATGGACCGCAGGGTGAAAGTATCCCGTAAAAAAGCACCGCTTCGACTGTTCGCGCAACTTGGCGCAACGAAAAATGTCTTGTGCCGTTTGATTTGCAGAGCACATCGTTCGTCGTAACCAACCACGCACGCACGTTCAAAGGGACGCGGACCTCGATTTGGAGGCAGCTCTGCTGACGAGGGCAATGCAAGGGTTAACGTGAAAAATAAATCAAGACACATAGGCCCACTAAATCTTCGAAAATCGGGGTTCGTGGGGGGGTGGGGGATGATTTGGGGGGGGGGAGCTCTAATTTCTATATATTTGAGTGAGGGGCACCGCGGATAGAAACGTAGGGGGGTCAATGCCGTATTTTCATCAACGAATCCCCCTATACTAATCCCTATACAAGACATATATATATCGAAATTGCCCTCCCGCGGGGCCGAGGGGGGGATGGCCCATGTGTCCGGACTTGTTTTTAACGTGGACCTTTGGGCAATGATTTAATAGTTGCCCGTTGCCCTGTATCTGCATACCATACGTTTGTATCCGCCCGTCCGTCCTGAACACATACCAACATACGATACCGACCTCAATCATTCCTGACTGAATGACAATCGTGCCTGTAGCAGAGCCGCGAATGCCCTATCTCGCACGAGGTCCATCGTGGCACAGTCCCGCGATCAGTTACTAGGTGTGAGATGAGGCGCTGATTCTCGGCAAGCCAACGGTAGGCCGATGATTATCATGTTACCTCCGGGCTGCTCTGTCAGATGGACGGCTGTCGCCATCCTAAAGCGTAGTCCGAACACGTCCTCCAGCTGCAATGGGTACAACACGACGTAAAACCGGTAGCCTATGGCATATACCACGCTGACGTGCATACTACTTGTACCCAAACGTCCTGAAATGTTGGTCTCTCGTGTTTATGCTACCATGCTCCTAAATGCCTGATTGCCGGCAACTGATGAATGCCTGCAGCAGCTGCGTATGTCACACAATATACTACGAAGTTGGGCAGACGAAAAGCAACACTTCGAAAACCTACTCGAAGCCAACTAACAACGCAAACCAGTTCAAGAACCTAGATTCCACTGGTGGCAAACCCTACAGAGACTTCCGCACGTAGCTGGTAGGCGTGGCGTCCTTCCGGCAACAAGCGTTCCGAATCGATAGATACTTTGATTTCGTACGCCATTGACTCAAGCTCAACCGATGCCACCGTCCGTCGCGTGTCCCCGGAACATATCTTCGATGCGACCGTTCGCAATAACCGCGCGGACGCGTTCAAGCTCAGATTCAAGAAGACGCCACCTTCCAAATCGTTCGGCTCCTGTGACAATACTTACTACTCCAAAGCTGTTGCCGGGATGCATATGCAGTGATACGGCCACACGCAGACCACGCTTTCGAGAAGGAAGACGCCCCCCTCCGGTTTCGCACCCTAAACCTTGCCGGCCAAGTTGACTTTCTGTAGGACGCTCCCATCACATAGCTCAGAGCGCACCCAACATGGCATGGGTCACATCCAACCAATCCTCTGCGCCGACGCCATCGTCCTCCCTATCCTCCATCCAACCGCCGTCCTCGCTCAGTTCTTTTATCCTTGACAATGGCTCGGGAGCCATGGCCACGCTGGCAAAGCTGGCTTCAACGCGGTTAGAGTGAAGTCCATCCTCTGACTGATAGCATAGATAGTTCGAGCATACTGGACGAGCAGTTGGGCTCGTCGACCCTACACTTGAACCCCTCCGATGCTCAGCCCCCCTCTCAGTCGGCCAGTCGGAGACTGTGTCGATTACCATCTGGGAAGTGTTACAGGCGGACGGCCATGCAGGCTGGCTCTGCCCGTGACCGGGGAGAGTCTCGTCGGCGTGGTCGCTATCCGTGCCGTTCGTTCCATCGCCGACGTCGATGGTGTCTACGCTTGGCGCCGAGAAAGTCGTAATGTGCTCACTTGCAACGAGCTGCTCGATCGCCCTACGAAGCGAGCGGTACGGGCGAAGATTGTGTTCATAGGACATACACGATTTGTTCCCTTTGCATGCTTCGGTATTTCTTTCTCTCGCTAGGCCTACGTGGCGCGTGCGGTTGACAATCTAAGTAGGGAAAAGTGGTCCTATACCACGGGACGCGTTCCGTGCAGACAAAGCCTGGCGAACCAATTCTGAAACTCATCAATAAGGACGAGTGAAATATTTTCCTCTTGTTCATCTCCAAGTTCATTCATTCGTTTCCTGATTCCGCATCGCTGTGCGTCTTTGTGTCATCGCGATGTCCAGCAGTACCTACGTTTGCTCTATTTCACTTCTAAGCTGGTAAAGTGATACGCTACTACGGAAGAAACGTCTTTGCGCATGCACCCGCAGTGTTGAACACGTTTTTGTTTTGTGGTGTTGTTTCGGATTCAAATGCGATTCTCATTGCAAATCTACGATCAAACGCTCATAGAACAAGTCTGAATTTTCGCCGGCGAGTTGTTGTCCGCTCGAGCTGGCTCCAATGTGGAATACCTACGTGTACGATGTTAGTACGGAATACGAGCGTGATAAAACTGCCGAAACAACTAAGACACAGCCTCTCTTCGGGCAATGTGCATGTGATCTTACGTCACCCGCAGGAGGCTTGACACCCACGTCCCGAAGGGAGGGAAATGACTCACGTAGTAAGGGTTGATCACATGTGTTCCAGGGTACAACTACAAGCGCATCTTGAGGAATTCATCATACACCCAGCGCGGCAGGAATATATTTCTCACGGAAACAACGCTTGGGACCCGTACCACGTCCTACCACGTCCCATTTTTCCAGCAGTCGCGTTCACCATGTATCTGCGAACGGCACCGGCTGCAAAATCTACACACCTGCAATAGCAGTCGTCGCAGAAGACATCTACACCGTGCCACTCCTCCAAAGGGGGTACGGGCAGAGAGCCGGCAGGGCGAAAAGAATTGTAGGTCGCCCGCAAACTGTCGTACATCGCTCTAGCTCTGGGGTCGCTGATGGCTGCAAGACATACCAGCACTATGTGTGCATTGTGGTACCTTTCATACAAACGGTGGCAGCGTGGGGAACGGGGTCACAGGCTTTCACAAATGTCGCTTCTTAGCTCATACCGCTCGATGCACCATGACAGACGTGTCATGAGAGATTTGCTACTGCAATATTTTCGGTGAACGCGGTATTTCTGTCGGTTGGGACAAAATTTCGCCGTGGCCTCACCCCTGTGCCATGATGGAGCTGTCTGCTAGTCGCGCAGGAGGTTGACTGTTAAGCGCACCGCAGTGCTCAAACGTTCAATAAGAAAGCACGTGATTTGACTAATGACAAGCTGACTGAGGTATCTTCCCTTGACGTCATAAGGGCACGACACTGCCTACGTTAAGGAGAAGAGATTCCATGAATCTGTTGTGAAAGGCCCACGGACAATGCAAGGGGCAGCGAGCCTAGTCCACGCCATCTGCCAACTCCGACCAGAGGCTACCCCATGAGCGTGAATTAAAATGACCATCACCTCTGCACGTGCGGAGGGCGGGCAATCAACTCACCCCATCGTGCCGCTGCACAAGCCAGGATATCGCTCGAAAACCGCAACGCAGCGGCCAACTCTCTCCAGGGCGGCATTGAGATCCCCCTTTGCTCCCTTTACAAACACAAGGGTCCTGTCGGATTTTGGATTTTACAGGACTAAAGATCAAGGGCGAACGACATCCCTCGTGACAAAGTCTCAATGGAGACAGGCAAGCATTTTCCGTGGCCCACAGAAACGTTCAAGAGCAAAGCGGATGAACAGTAGTCGAAATAACGCCAATAATGTGTCGTCTGAGTCTTCCGCAAGAATTCATCGACCAACCGAGACATCGTGTCGCCGGACACAAGGAATACATCGCCCTCTGTCGACCAGAACAGCTGGGGTTCTTTCGAAACCCGGGATCGCGTGGTCGCATACAGTTACGTCTACAACTGCAATGAATCCGCGTATGATTTCCACATCCCCAACTTACAAGTTGATGAGAAGGCTGCCAATACCCCCACGAATAGTTGGTCTGCTCGCCAGAATGATCGCATTCCATGTTGACATGCAGGCCGTTGCGAATGACATGTACACCATCGGGCGAGTGGGAAGATGTGAGCCATTTGAACTAGTCTTCCTGCATGTCCAGGACAAGGAGTGGTCGGGCCTCGATGGCTCCTGATGTTCCACGCTCACATGGCACCCCCATATCGGTGGATATCTATAGTCCGACCATGGTGCCTTACGATCTTGGGTGTGCTCACTGGTGTCTGCATCACATCTTTCGACTCACCGATCTACCGCTTCTTCAAGCGGCTCGAAATCGATACAACGCCCATTTCTCAACACAGTGCCCAAAGAGCTGGAAATCTCCCTACAGAGGAGAGAGTTATCGGATGGGCGGACGCTGCCTGATCGGTCATGACGGTCGCCCTCGCTTAGGCGTCCGCCTGGCTTCGCGCTCTGCTCATTCGCTATTGCACGGGAAGCTTGTTCGAATGCCTTGAAGGATTGAGCGACATAGCGATATATCTCGCCTTCGGTGGCAGCGGCGCTCAACTGGAATCGTCAGGTGTCGAAGAGTGGTGCGCGGGTGTGGGCCAAGACGCAAGAGAGGTGGTCAACGAGAAGAGAAAACGGCGGCTGACTTTCCGTATGGCACTGTACGTGCACAAGCCCTATTCGGGTGAAACCAAGGACGCTGTCCGGTGGACATTCTTGCCCGAGCATCGTGAACCGCCTTGTAGGCTACTTCTGATACATCGGGTCCATCCTGGAAGGTGTGGCTCGCCAAATGCATTGCTAGACGACTCTGCGATGCGAACGACTCACACACCTGCGGGTTTGTTTGCTCTTCGGCGTTAAACGACTTCATCTGGCGTTGTCCGCACGATGAGTCAGCGAACTCCTTAAACTTGACAACCTCGGCAAACCCCTGGTCAGCGCACGGCCGCACAGCATACGCAGGAAAGTCGGCGATATAGACAGCTGGCCGAACCAAAGCATGAGGAGAGGAAGGTAAATCGACGTGGAAACCATGCTTGTTTTCCCAGTACGCTCGAAAAGACACGTCCGCCTTAATCCGAGCTTATCGTCGACCGCATTGATCTCCCGCACGCAAAACAGCAGATACATGGCTAGATGAGGTACGCTCGTACCCCGTTAATATGAGCACCCGTTTTCAGCTGGTGAAAAGTACTGCTCACCACTGGAAGATTATCGGTAGACCTTTCCTCCATAGAACTCCTCAAGAATGACTCCGAAAGAGCCAGGTAGTGCTGATACCTTGCCTGTAGGATTCGTATAACAGTCGGGGGGGAAAGCACGTCGGAGTAAAAATTCATCACCGAGATAATAGCTGGAGCAACCCTTTTCCAACATCCTTCAAGCTGTTGATGCGACCCTTGAAGCGGCGATGCACGCCGGCTGCTGTCACAAAGAGCAACCACAACTGAAGAGGTCCCGAGTCAACAGCGATGTGCACTCATGTGCACGACAGAGCCAGGTGAAAATCCTCACCGAGTCTCCCATGAAGCCGTACAGATAGCCCATAATTGCCCAAGCCCTAGGCAGGGAAAGGCAAACACGAAAGAAGGAAGGGTAAGCGTCAATGTTCATCGAAAAATGGAGCCCTGCCCAACTGATAAGCCCGGCGACCCCCTGGGAACACTAGCACCTGACCGTGCGTTTGAATGTATAGTGAGTCGGGGTCAAACGGCAGACAGCAGGCGTGCCCGGCGAGAGCCCACCATGAATATCAAGGGCATGAGTGGTGATGGGGGGGGTTATCCCCGATTGAACTCACTTCGCGACCTCAGCGTCTGTCGGCTCCAAAGAGCTCTTGGCCAGCGCTTCGTGGGCCAGTTGACAATACTTTGCCACCTGCCACCAAACCACCAGTGAATTCATGGACATCTGCCGCATGAGAAAAAACAGTATGGCACTGCACAATAGAACTACCGTAGTCCACCAGCTTTTCAGGAAAGAGGTGCACTGGTTCCACTACGAGCAAAACATGTGCGTTTTCACCAATACATCGAGAAACTACTTCGTACCGATTCCAAGGGACTGCCCTTCGCAAGCGCCCCCAGAGCGATTGCACACCAGAACGTGCACGTCGACGGGTTCATGGGAAGCTGATGCCCTCCCGAGGCCTTGCTCCACTCTACCCCTCCTGCGATTGAGTCGAAAGGACCTCCTGCGCCAAAATCGCCGCCAACGAAGGACTGTCGTATGGCGGGAGACACCATGATGTTCACCATCGTCTCGCGAATGTGACTGCCAAAACAACACAAACGTGGTGAAGGCGCACGAGTCGACTGGCGGCACGGCGTAGCAGGAGCAAGCTACCAGCACCACAGAACCATACCAACATCGTGCCACGTATATGCTGCTTCAATGATTTCGGGAAACTGATCAGTTGTGGCATTCATTAGAAGCGGGCCCCCTAGCCCAAAGGGCGACAATGTCCAAGGAAGCTGCATGCGACACCTTTGGGTGGTTAGCGGGAGAAAGCCAACGCAGCCGAAGAAGTCGCTGAGGAAGGCATTCTCCTGCATTCCCACAAGTCCAGTCGCCGGAGATGCACTCAGCCCGAACCTGAATGTAGCGACAGGATTGGAGCGAGGCATCACTAAATACCCGTTGCCAAGAACTGCACTCGGAAAATGCAAACCCAAGTGAGCGCGCCGTTTTGGAGGACATCGCAGTTGAATTTCATGAAAATCACAGCGTTGCAATATTTCAACTATTGTCGCTGCACTGAGACATGATTTGAGAGCCAGCACCGCACGTCTGTACGCCAGCACCGCACGTCTGTACGCGCAGATTGTTGGTCGGCATGTCCGATCGGTTCATCAACCCGCAAAGCTAAATGGAAATTCATGATGCAGTGTACCTCGCCAACGGTAGCCTGCCAGAAGTCGCGAGTGCGCCGGGTGGTGTGGAATGCAGCGGAACCTCTCCACCGTGCGCCCCATCGCGATCCGGTTGCCGAAGATGGGTTTGCTTGTGTGTTTGGAGAAGACGCCGCCGCCGTTTGCTGTACGTGCACTGGCTGCCTGACCTTACACAGCGCCTACCACCATACAAATATTGCGAAGGTAAAAGCCCAGCAAACCAGTATTTCGCGTGGAGGGTCCATGCGATGCAGTACTAGGGGGCATACACAAGATGAGGCCACAATATTGCCTCGTATGCATCAAACGAGCAATATCACCATGTCAATATGGTTACACACGATGGTGTGCTACATGTGGCTCGAACGACAGTACGGACTTCCCGAGGTGCGGCAGCAGCAAGAAGAGCACGCCAATGGGTTCAAGCGAACACAACCTCTACATTCAATACGTAACTCCAAGCTGCAGAGAGAAAAGTCTTCCATTTCTGAAACGTACGAGAGAAGCTGGGCAATGCAAGCTTCAAAAGGGGCTTCGAAGTGCAAGTTGGGTTAGGCTCGGAAGCAACAATTTCGACACGTACACGCGCAACACTCCTCAGATCAATAGGCCGGAATTTAAGGACTGTTCTAGACTTGACACATCTGCGGTTGGATTGTAACTAACAACACAGCGCATCCCCTTCTTGATTTGGGCAGACGGCATGAAAACCACTTTCCCAGCGATGTTCAACACAGCGCAAACGTCCGTGTTCCACGTCCACGGCGATGAGGTGGCGTACGTCGTGTCTGACGACTGTGCGAAGCATGAGCGACATTGAGAGCACGAGGAACTTCACAGCATTCAGACTACCTGTTGTCGCATTACACATCTGAGACAGAGATTCCAAGAAGCTCCACCCCTGCACTCGGGATGCCTGGAGAGTATTGCGATAAGGAAGAATTTCTGCGTTTTATTTGTCGGTCTTTGGGTTCATCTACGTGTACTCCGCTTGCTGTGATGGTGCCTCCCTCTGTCGTTTCCCGTTTTAGTCCTCTTCTCGCTCTGCTGTGCTGCATGCTCAAACCGGGGTTTTCAAAGTGTAGGGCCTGTCGTCACAGACGCAGTGGGCGCTTCAGCCTGAAAAATCTTGCGCTAAGCATCGGTAGAAACGATTGGTTGTATCTAGGTTTGGCATTGCGCCTCTGGCTGGAGGCACAGGAAGCAAGAAGGGAGCCCTCTCCGATGTGCCATTATGGTATCAGAAAGGTCATGTTTAGATTGTATTGGCAACTTCACCGCCGGCTCTGGCTTCGCCTGCTCCCCTCGTCACCAGCGTACTCGAGACTTGAAGAGGGACGGCTAACTCGTGATGGCCCATCGAACGACGGCGAGCACAGGCTCTACCTTCCGCCTTGCGGGGAAAACATTGTAAATTGGAACCCCAGCCACCCTGCGGGTGCAAGGCTCGATATTTGTAGTTTTACGATTCTTGTAGTTTCTCGCTCGGCGATTCGAGGTTAGCCAGGTGCGGTACTTCGAAGTACAATTCCACGGTACCCAGTAAGAATATTTCAGGGATCTTCACGGTGTGAACCGCACCGCGGTGTAGCTTTTAACATGGTCACGGTGCGGTGCGGTGCGGTGCGGTGCGGTGCGGTGCGGTGCGGTGCGGTGCGGTGCGGTGCGGTGCGGTCTGCCCGTCGCACGGTTTTTAAACGTTGGTGTTTGTTCTTCTCCATTATACACTGCACGAACCGCGGCCTTGGTGGCCGTATCCCGTCGAAGAAAACCGCAGAAATATTATGTTTATCCGTGACCCAAGGAACGAGTACCTACAACTTCGTGGAGTACGTGACGATAAAGTCCTGTCCTGTGCGGTCCATCGGAAGTAGCGTGGTGTTTACATTGTGCTTGTGCATAGAGGCCGTAAATGACAAACTGCGGCAGGGCTGCCAGGAAATCCAACACAAGAGTTCATATAGATTATTTTGTTAACGATAACACTCACCACCAACAACAGCATCTGCATTCCTCACAAGCCTCTACTACGGATGAATATGTGCCAGAACAATTCGTGCTGCTATAGGCAATATAGGGCGGCTCATATGAGACGTAGTAGAAGCAGCGGAAAATGGGGCGGGGGGAGAGCCGGCGACAAGCGCCAGACAGAGCAGACAGTGGCACTGCCCGCGTCTCCTCGCCCTAAACGAAGACGCGAACGGTCTTTCAGCTCAACTAGAGGAATGCGGCACCAGGGAGGATGGGCCGTGATTTCCATCGCTCCTCTCAACGGTACCAGCGCGGAGCGCATCACGGTAGCATGTTAACGGGGCGGGAGCGGTCACGGGACATCGCCACCCGAAAGAGGGCGCGCCGCACCGGCGGGAGCGGTGGCGGTGGCATCAGCAGCGGAAGGGTGGCAGTTTCCCGGTCGACCGTCGGTCCTAAATACACGTCGGAGAGCGTGATGGAGGACATCTACCGCAGGATGGTGGTCCAGCAGACACGGACCGGCTCACGAGACCGCGCCAAGAGGGCCCCGAGGAAATCGGCGAGTTCGGTGAGTTGCGGGGGCTGCGCTTGTATTGCGTGGTAGGCACGATAGAGGCGGGGAGAGCAGGGCGTGGGTTTTCGGTGTCGAGCAATCGAGTTTTCCGGCAGGCCCGGCCTGCTCAACACCCCCGACCTCGAGAAGTGTTTTGGGTTCGAGTGCGCGTGTAAAGGAGCGCCTACTCATGAATGATGCGGGGGAACAACGTCTGCTCTGTCCTAGGACCACAAGGTGGCTACTCTAGGCTGAGCTTGCTGCTCTCGTAAGGTCACTGCTGCACTCACTTGCCGCTAGAACATCAGCTCGTGTCGGCTCGTGTGTAACATTCTTGGCGCGTGTGATTTTGTCTCTGCCGCTGCAACTGCTTGCCGGCATCCTGCCGGTCACGTTGTGCACACAAGGGAGAGTCCGCCACCGGCCGATGCAACACTCCCCCCCGTTTGCGCGTTATCATGATATCACGTCCTGCTTCTGTTTTTGAGGTTCGCACAGCTGGGCGACCGTAGTAAGCCTGTGAAACAGGGAATGGATATAGAAGTCGCGCCGCCGCCAGAGAAAGCACGCCGCCCGCCAGGTGACTGTGACGTACGGGGGTATGTTGCAGAGGACGGCTGCACTGCTGTCTGTTGTCGTTGGCGGTTGTAAGGTCCTTCGTCATGGTCCTTCTGCACGCGATGAACGTACCATATGATGATCGTACCCTGAACTTCTGTCCTCCCTCCCTTCCCCTCCGTACAGGCCTTCGTCGGCATTTCGTCGAGAGCCGCCACTTCGTTTCGACTGCACCAACACCGTCCGAAAAAATCACCTCCGTACGCTTCGCCGCCAGCTTGAGCAGCGGCCGCCCACAAAGCGCAGAGTCGTTTGCGGCAAAGATGACGGTGAGTAGGGAGAGAATGATGAAGAGGAGCAGCAAGCGGCGGTGGCGGCGTTGCCGGCAACGGCGACGGTGTCTAAGGTGAAAAAGAAGGGCAAGCCCGGGGAGGGAGGGTCCGAGGGCAGGGGATAGGTGTCAAGGAGACGAGGCAGCTCCGGAGGGAAAGACCCCCGCCCCGGCCACGGTCGAGCCACCGCTAGCGGCGTCTGCAGTGCATAGCGGTTCCGCCAGCAACGCCAGCTGCACGACTCCGGGGGGCAACACGGCGGTGGCGGTGGCGGGGGCACCGCCGCCGAAGGACGCAACGTAGCCTGGGCAGCGACGGTGGTCGCTACCACGCTCCCTTCTCTCGACAGAGCGAACAGTATCAAGCGGCAAGGCGGAGAGAGCGAGGCCATTGCCAGCACCAACAATACTGTGCCGGAAGAAGAGCCGCGACCGGGCTCGTGGTCCCGTCTCCCGATGCCGCCGCCACACCGGCAATGTCCACCTATCAGACGCTTCGTTCCCCAGCCGTGTCGCCAGCGCGGTTGCTCCTAGTGTCGCGGCGGTGGCAGCAGGAGGCTCGGATTTGCTACAATGCCGGTAGTAGCGGCGAAGGAGTCGTGTCCGCTCGGCGGTGCGGCAGATGGTCATGGGGACGCGCTCATTAACGACCCGCCGGGGATGGAGGCGACCGCTAATGTGGACGATGGGCTGCAAGCGAGCAAGACTACAGTAGCGGCTCGACTTCCCTTTCTTCTTTCTGAGGAGACCCAACCGGGGATGCTGGCAATTGCGACGGTGGTGGCGGGGCGGCTCTGGCGGCGACGGCTCTGGCGGCGACGGCTCTGGCGGCGGTTCTGGCGGCGGCAGCCACGGCAGCGGCGGCCGGCGAAAGAGGAGCCGTGAATACTACGTCGGAAGAAGCTCCTTCGACGACCGTCAAGGAGCAGACCAAGGCCCTGGTGGCGACGGAGGAGGAGGTGGTGGTCAAAGCCGCCACGACGGCGACGCGCCACCATGCGAAAGCCGACCGCAAGCGGGTCAAGCGAGCGTGTGATTGGGCCTGTACCCGCCGCCAGGACACGCGCTTCTGGTCATTTTATCACGCCGGGCCTGTACCGACCCCATACTAAGATTGAACGCTCCAGCATGGACTGTATTTTCACTGATATTTGCACGGGTGTCAGCGTCTTGTTTCAGGCTCAATATGCAAGCAAGGTCGTGCTGTCATGGGGTGGGGTTCCAGCGAATAAAATAGAACTTTAGAAGTAGCGTTTCATCCAATGGCATGGGGCTCATTAGGCGATGGTCAGGACGCCTACATTCGACCGCCGCGCTTGGATTTCGACTTATTCGGTCTATGTTTCGGGTGCAACAGGAGCAACGGCGGCGTCTGCGCTTTGCAGCAGGCGTTTATATCTGTGTAAGTTCACCCGGTTGTCCCAAGTTAAATGGCAAGGAAACCGCGAGTCGAGTAGGAGGGGGGGGGGGCTGAAAACGGCTGTGTGTGCTTTTTTTGTCTGGTGTTCGGACTGTCGTTTTAGATAACAAAGAAAGTTTCCACAACGGAGTCTGCTGGCGGACTGCTACTACTGCTGCTGCGTGCGGGTGCCGCATTTTCACGGCGTTTTTCTTGGTGACCAGGCGGTGCGCACGGCAAGGCGTTCGCTCTCAGTTCAAACTCCTTCGCACGCCTTTTGCAAATACTCCACTTGTACTTGCGTGTTGCACCAAAGTTCAAATTGCACTAGACCCGCAGGACACACAGAAAGCACATTCAACGTCTTCTATCGCCGCTGGGGCGTCCAAACATGAGAATGCTTGATCAATCCGCGTAAGATATCTTTTTCATCGCGATACGTACACCTCTCTCTGTCCTGGGAGCACTTCCAGACACAGACTCGAGATATCTACTCCTTGCGGTACTGTTCATAAGTGAGCAAAGTCTCGTGTCGATCGGTAGTGTAGGCGCGTTTTCTGATTAGGTTGCACGCACGTGAACAGCAGAGGACGTTGGGCCGCCGCAGGGGGCGTGGATCACGTTTTTTCAGTAGAATCTCGGAGTCTGTGCCGAGCAGTTCTCGCGCTATAGTGAACGAAGTCCAGTGAAACTACAAATAGCTGCCCTGGGTAGCTCCTGGTCTGTTCCACTGCTGGATGTTGACAAAGATGGGGGTGCGAACGTCGACAGTCCGTGGGCTTGCCAACTGCCATTTTTTGTTGGGCCGGTTTTTTTTTTCATCAGGCGTGCAGGACTGAACCAATTGCTCTTCCGCACGAGCAGCAGGTTGGACAAAGATGCAGCTGCCTTTCCTGGTGTGCGTCTGCATAAAAAAAAGGGCTTCACGTGCCATTTTTACAGCGTTTTCGGCGACAGCGTCTAGGACAAACCGCACCGTGAAAGAAACCGCCATGGTACGGTACGTGGCGGTGCGATTTCGTCATACATCACGGCGCGGTACGGTGCGGTTTCGTTGTATCACGGCGAGGTGCGTTTTCTTTCATCTCCAAATGTGACGGTGCGGTGCGGTGCGGTGCGGTGCGGTGCGGTGCGGTGCGAAATATGACCGTACCGCCGAAAAGAACTGCACCGTGAACAACGCTGGAATATTCTAGTCGGGACTCAATCGACCACTCTATTTCTCACGAAGATGAAGATTCCGCAGGTCGTACGCAAGTCATCAATCCATGATGGGAGTCAACGCCTCCCTCTCGGAAGAAAAACGCCCAACAATGCATGGGTGTGTGTTTCATTGAACATACTTTGATTAACAGGAGTGTATACTGTACTTCTGTAGCATCGACGGCGCTAAGCGGTTGAGCAATGAAATACGTCGGTCTCCATGCGGTTAAAAACATAACATGCTGATCTAGGACCCCGTGAGAGGTTGGCATGTGTGGTTTGTCCCATCCGTATTCTGTACGGTACGTACAAATGTAGTTTAGACTTGACGACATTCCAGTACATAGTGTACCCTACATGCACCTTACGCAACCTTTGGTGGTTTCCCCACCGAGATCTCACCTGCAAGGTCGTTGGCCATCACAACGCTTCTTTTTTCGTCCACATTCTGAGCAGCTCCGGCGTATTCCAGGCAGGATTGGCCGAAGACAGGTCGCCGTACCATCATCGTTGTTGCCCTTCGACGGCTCTGTACCTGAAGTATCCATGGATGGATTGCCCTCTTCCGGTACTGCTGTACACCACCGGCCACAAAAAGAGCTGCTATCCAGCTTCTTGACTGGCGGTGGCGCTTTGTGCTGTTTACTACTCTGATCACGGCACAGATCACGTCGCCTCGGCTCATGCACAGACGCAGGCACGGGAAGAGAGGAAGGGAGAAGGAGACAGACACAACAGACTCGAGGATGAAGTCAGCTTGGCGGGGAATTGGCGGGATTTGGTGGGACAAATCAGGGACTCCCCTCTTCCCATTGGCCGAAACCAACAGTCTCCAGCAGTAATTTTGTTCTTCAACAAGCCCAAGGAACGGAGAGATTTCCAAACTGGCACGCAGAGAGCATGTATTTTGCCCGCAGACACCTTCTGCGGCCTTTCTATCGTCCCTCTGCCTCTCTCTCAATACTGTAGCTGCTGCCTGCTGCCCCTCTCTATCTTCCCTCCAAACAACAAACGAGGGTGCTCTTTCCTGCGGTGGGGGGAACCAACCTTACTGCACACAACGGTCTTCGACGACCAAGTCCCGAAACGGTAATCTACCATTTTCTTCGCCAACTTCGACGTCATCGTGACACTACAGAACTCACGCGCTGGGGTGTTATTCTTTTACTTTCTACAAATGTTATTGGCTACCACCGTGCCTTTTCCCTCGATTGCCTCCCGACTTGCTACTTCTATTTCGTACCGCACGGGACACCACTGTACACGGCCCCTTCTAATTCGTCTGACTTCATCTCCCTGCCCTCCTCGGTTCATTTTGGTGCCACCAACTTGCACCAACCGCCATATTCTGCACAGACAGCAAGTGCACCGCCGTCAAAACGCCCCCACAAGCCCCGCCGCAAATCTTTGTCCAAAGTGCCCGCGCGGTGCATACACTCGTCCGACGTAATGCCCGGTCCGGTCGACAAGAGGCCGGTCCACTCGAGACGGCTACAAAAATACCCCGCCGCCCTCTGTGCCGTGTTTTTTCTACGTTAAAACCTGCCGTTCTTCGCCTGAGAGATCTCAGAACACTGAGCATTCGGGTCACAGGGTGCATCTGAACCGTCGGAGATAGAGGAGAGGCCATGCCACTTTTTTATGCGGCGTGGGGACGATGCTATGGAGAGGGCTGTGTAAAGGTTCGTTGACTGCCTGCCATGTATTGCATAGAGTGCATCCTCTCCGATTTACTGGGTTCCCCGTTGATTCACCGTAAAAACTCGCCGTGCAGTCTGAGCAAACCGTATCTGGGATATCTTACTCTGTGTACATGGTCTCATCCAACCCGATTAGTCTACCACTTTGTTGTTGTGAAAGCTTGAGGTATTTCAGTATCACCTCCGACCTGATCCCCAGGCTTCATACTCAACACCAGTCCCTCCTGCCGTTGTATTGATCCTGGGTAATAAGATGGTTTGATGCCTACGGTACCGGAACACAAAATATTTTGATCCTCAGCAGGGCACCGGTCGTCCCGACGGTCTACTGGCAATGGTCCTCGCAACCCCTCTACACTACATGTAGTAGAATGCACTGTGGATCTTGGTCATGTCTGCCATGCTTTCACATGCCTGGCTGAAGGCAACTGAAGCCTGCAGCAGCTGCGCATGTCACACCTCAAGAGATCCACGACCGAGTGCCGACTACAGTTCTTCTACACAGCTAAATGCATAGCTACATTCACGGCAACCGAGCGATCGAAAAAAATCGGAAAAACTCGAAGCACCAGGAACGGGTGACAACTACATTTATGTATGTACGCGAAATTTCGTACTTCAAGACTGAAAAAGAGGCTTAGACTGAATTGGTCTTGAACATGGAGCTGAATGTGATGGCATGTCATGGCGTCCTGGGGGGGGGGAAACATTCCAAGTCGACAGAAGTGAATTTGCGGATGCACGACGTGCATCTCCTCATTATACAAGTTTTTGAATAAGATATGTCATCGTGACGTTTGTCTACCTGTGACGAAGTTCCCGAAAAATTCACCAGCGCCAATAAGCGAGGATCAGCAAACGGCAACCTTTTTATGTTGTTGGCTCTTGTTGGTACGCAGTGTGCTAAAGGTGCCGGGATGGACGGGTAAACGCATCCTGTGGCCATTCTCAGACTACACATTCGAGAGAGGAAACCACCTGCTCCGGTTTCCCTACCAAGCAAGCGGTAGGTTTTGTTCGTATCCGTGGACTTGGTAGTGCATCCTACTCACGTCGTCCGGGTTGACTGGGTGTACTCTAGGGTCGAACCGCTGCAAGACCATGCGAGTAAATCGTTTCTGCCGTCACTAGCGCTGGAAGAAGACATTAATCGCTGAATAAAACATTGGTAGGCCCGTCACATCCCGTTTTCCCCAACATCGGATTTGCAATATTCGGAGATCGGCAAGGTCATAGTGTACATTGAAATACGTACCTGCAATAGATGTCGTTGCAGAAGGCATCCACTCCGTGCCACTCTTCCAAACGGGGTACGGCCCGTGAGCCAGAAGGGCGAAACAAATTGTAGAACACCCGCAACTTGTCGTACATCGCTGGAGCTCCAGGGTGGTCAATCGCTGCGAGACAAACCAGAAGCATATGGGCCTTGTGATACCTTCAGTGAGGACGCCGGCAGCGGGGAGCACGGGAACATACGGCTTGAAACAATTCGGTTTGTGGAGCAAACCGCTGGGTACACGATGACAGAGATGTCTATTGTCTATGTCATTCACCAAACATCTCGAAAAGTATTGACTGTTTTCGTCGGCACGTGTGTGTTGCTGATGTGGTCTCGACTCCGAAACCATTTGGACCTTTGTGCAATAGATATTCTCGGCAATTCGTCAAACTGTGCGGCTCTTCCTCTTCCTCCGTCGTCCAAGGCGAACAACGATACTTGAACCGATCCGGCGGATTCTACCACTCGAGAAGAGGCAGAAACTCGTCTAGACAAGCCAGAGTTCAGATAACTTGTGGTGAAGTCCAAAACGCTCAAACTGCCAAGGGATTCAGAACCTCTTATTGGTCAAATGAGGAACCGGTTCGGGGACACAAAATACTTGTTTTTTCCCATACTACAATCTGGGAAGCGAACTGATTGGTTGTCATCGCGCGTCCACCAACGCGGCAAAGTGTTGGTTCTCGAGTTTGTGCTTTTGCAAACCAAATCTACCCCCATTCCAACCCACCCGGATATAAGAGTAGGGGACGGCACATCGAATGAACCAAACGCGCAGCACACAATGTGCCCACCGACGCAGCGCCTTCCGTCCTCGACAATAGATGCACGCGCGCTTCTGCTTCCGAGGATTTCTCTTTGAAGTTGCCACAAAATTCGCAAGCGTCCGAGCGAAACAAATATTGTGGGAAGTGGGGGGTGTTATGCAAGACTAAGGGCCTTAGCGATCCCACTGCCGCTACCGGATACGATGCTGAACGAAACCAACAGTAGGTCGAGACCAGTAGTTTGGACAACTGTCACCAGCAAGCCAAAACATACTGTCGTACTTCGCATGCTTACGATAAACCGCAAGAAATCGTGGCGTTGGCGGAGGTGCACGGTCAAAACAACCTTATAAAAATCGAACTGCAGGTATCAGCACAAACTGGCGGGAGGTGCGGACCGATTTGGAGCATCGAACAAAGAATGTGTGCACAGTGTGCTAAGAGTGGAGGTCGCAAGCGGCATGGCAAGGGTCCTTGCGGCCGGACAAATCCAACTGACAAGCGAAACATCCACTGAACTCATCATGAACTAGCCAAGTCATCCTTTGTCTCTTCATGAACAAGAACGACATTGCCCACATCGATTTTCTTCCAATCCATACATCCGTTTCTATAACACCTCTAAGAAAAGACGCTTATATTCCCCACGGGCCTCTCCTTTGTGGAGATAAGTCAGCGTAAACAAAAAATAGAGTATGGTGCCATCAGGACGTGGTAACCCCAAAGGCATCCTCCTTACGCTCAGTCAGATATATTTTGCCTCGACATTCACTCCCTCCCCTCCACGAACGAGCTGCCTGGACAGATGCAGCTATATTTTGCGATTGGCGCAGACTGCGTTGGACAAGACTTCGCTGACTCACGGTCTCATCCATTGAGTAACCTCGGGGGTATGATCTGAATCTCAGCACTGAGAACGATACAGAACGCGCCACCACTTAAAAACTTAGCAGTTCAAGAACTTGAGCCTCAAACAATCCAAAATCTAAGAACTTGGCCATAAGAACATATGCTCAGTTCCGACGTTGTATTAAGAACAAGAACCCGCCCGGTGTACCAATGCGCATAGAGATAAGAACGGAGCCCCAAAACGCGGCGGCTGCAAGATAAGAATTCAGGAGGCTGGGGGTGACCCAAACAGCAGTTAGTTTCTGATTCGAGGCGGGGGGGGGGGGAGAGAGAGGACCTCGTGATGAATTCTTGTACGCGCGGAGGGGGAGAACGTACTCTCTCTCATGTTTCGCATGCCTTAGCGGTAGGACAATTGACCAACGTCTTCGAGAGGACGCATCCATGTTCCAACAGGATCACTGATGCCAATCGTTCCTTCCCACTTCGAAGTACTTTGTCAAACGTGGCCAAACCATGTTCTCCCTAGCCGATCTACCCTATATCGATATCACCTCCCGCCTTTTCAACCCACTTCCTGTACAGCTACCACCGTTTTCTCTTGGCTATTCCATGCCTCAAACACCTCCCTGTACCTTTTCTTCTACATGTCCAACTCAATCATGTACATTTCTCTGTCCTTGTCGCCCAACACGGACGTTTCGCAACGACATGAACCCGGTCTTCACTCTCGGAGTCGCATTCACATTTAACTCGTCTTCATCGTCTACCTTCCTGAATCTTCGTCAATGTTGTCGAAGGCCGTTTTCCCCACTCCAAAATTTGACCTTCGGCTTTCTCCCTGCATCCATTGGTCCATGTAGTAGGTACCTATACCTTCTTTCAACATCCACATGGAGACCCTCCTTATCCTTGGATCCTTTTGTTATATGGTGTTCTCTCTCGGCGAAAGAAGCAGATTTCTTGTTCTCGAACCCCTCTAGATCTACACCGTTCGTTTCCAATGTACCAACCTAATCGATTTTGAACTCTTCCTACGCCGTCTACAACCTTAATACACTCCCTCCGGGTTGGTACCTCCATTTTTCTTGTTTGTCCACTTCGCCTCCCAGG